AGGAGAGACCGTGAGACTCCTATCTCCAATAAACCACCAGAAAACCGGAAGTGGTGCTGTAGCTCAAGTGGTAGAGCGCTCGCCTTGAGCTGAAGAGCTGAGGGACAGCGCCCAGACCCAGAGTTCAAGCCCCACGACCGACAAAAAAAAAAAAAAAAAGAATTGGTGTCTTTAAGAAGTAACAGTAGCTGGGCACCAATGGCTCATGCCTGTAATACTAGCTACTCAAGAAGCTGAGATCTGAGGATCATGGTTCAAAGCCAGCCTGGGCAGAAAAAGCCATGAGACTCTTATCTTGAATAAACCACCAGAAAACGGGAAGTGGTGCTGTGGCTCAAGTGGTAGAGCGCTCGCCTTGAGCTGAAGAGCTGAGGGACAGCTCTCAGGGCCAGGGTTCAAGCCCCATTACCAACAACAACAACAACAAAAGTAGTAACAGTATATGGAGATGATTTTAAAAATACAAAACAAAAAAGCAAAAAACAGCTTCTTCCTCTGACTGCGATTAAATTAACAAGCCTGACAAGGGAGGGCATTAAGCCTAAGCACAATGACACCAGCGAGCATTAAGCAGGCAGCCAGCTCTCAAGGTCAGTGTTTCACGCTGCCTATACCTTTCTTATGTTAGCCAAACTGCAGAAGTTAGAATACATTGAACTGTGCTACTCAGCTAGAAAACAGTTAACACGGGAGGTGAATTTTTTCTTATTGTGTACTTATCAGTAAGAAATCATGAAATGACAAGGCTGAAGAAACTGTAGGAGTTCAAAACAAACTGAAGAGAGTTTGCCTGTGTACTGAAATCACACTGCTTATGGGTCATCATCCAAGTGCACAACTTGGAAAAGGAACTTGGAAAATTCTATACATGGGACTGAAGACAGAAAAACTGCATCTGTGACTGGCATTTCACACCTGTGAGGACAAAGGCACCTGCGAAGTATGCATACAACTCATGTTTACCAGTGGTACAACAGACAGACAGCTCCCAATGAAGCACATTTTTCTATTTTCTCTTTTGTTGGGGCGGGGGGGGGTAGGCCTGCACCGCAGCTGCAGGTGGTACTTCAGTACCTGGTATCAAGGCTCAGAAGGCCCCAGGATCTGGAGACTGGGAGAACAAGGAGTCCCAGGACCAGAATGCTGTGACTCTTATCACAGTGAAGCGGCCACCTAAGAACCAAGAGGGGCCGGCAGGAGTGGCCGCAGCGTGTGTCTGAACTAGCACTTTAAATGATGGGGATCTGAATGGCTTTCTGTAGAAGAAAAAATTTTTTCTTTTAAAGATCCACCAAAAGTTAGGAATGGTTGGGGCTGGGAAGGTGGCTCAGTGGTAGAGTGCTTGCCTTGCATGCATGAGGCCTTGGGTTCGATTCCTCAGCACCACATAAGCAGAAAAAGCCGGAAGTGGCACTGTGGCTCATGTAGTAGGGTGCTAGCCCTGAGCTGAAGAGCTGAGGGACAGTGTCTAGGCCTAGAGTTCAAGCCCCATAACTGACAAAAAAAAAAAAAAACAAACCTAAAAGTTAGGCATGGTGGGTGGTACATGCCTGTAATCTCAGTGCTCAAGAAGCTAAGGCAACTCAGGCTGGGCTACATATACAGCAGGACCCTGTCTGGAAAGAAAAAAAAATCCACCAAAAGAGATGGCTGAAATAGTCACGCAGGTAATAGTAAACCCTTTAGGTTTTTCCACTAATTTCAAGTTCCCTAGTGCTTCTATTTATCCATCTAGCAGTCAGTAAGCATTTGCTGGTCATTTACAAAAACCTATTAAGCTTGAATTCTGGGGGCACAAAGGAGGTGAGCATATCCCCTGCCCTCAGAAAGTTCAGAGTGATTTCGTATGCAAAGGGTAGAGATGGGGGCTTCCCAGGGCACTGGTGCAAAGCACGGAGACAGGGGCTGCTAGAACACTGGTGCAAAACCAACACAGAGGGAAAAAGGATTAGGGAGGGAAGCCGGAGGGTGTCGGCTGGGCTGGCAGGAGCACTAGACAGCCAGGGAAGAGGGCAGTGTCGAGGCTGAAGAGGGAACATAGTGCAGCCATGGCTGACACCCACCCCTTACGTTTATGATGACAAGCAGTTGAGAGAAGCAAGCTCTCAAGAGCTCACAATTTTCATTTTCTCTTCTATGAGTGACTTTCAAGCCCCCAAAGCAAGACAGATTTTTGTGTGACTAGACTTACTTTGTGTGTCTGAGTCCACCTTCTCCTCTCTGACAGTAGTTGGAGTGTTCAGTCTGCTTTCTGGACTGAGGAGCTGGTCTCCAGGCTGTACCACAACTAAAAGCACAACAAGCACTTTTGTCACTCTTCATTCTTAGACCTTTCCATCTGTGCAATCTCGAGAAAATTCATGGTACAGCTCATGTCAAATGAAGTTGAGAGCCGGGCGCTGGTGGCTCACACCTGTAATCCTAGCTACTCAAGAGGCTGAGATCTGAGGATCGCGGTTCAAAGCCAGCCCGGGCAGGAAAGACCGTGAGACTCCTATCTCCAATAAACCACCAGAAAACCGGAAGTGGCGCTGTAGCTCAAGTGGTAGAGCGCTTGCCTTGAGCTGAAGAGCTGAGGGACAGAGCCCAGGCCCAGAGTTCAAGCCCCACGACCGACCAAAAAAAAAAAAAAAAAAATGAAGTTGAGAGTTTCTAGAACCAATTTTAAGCAGAAAACACTAGACAATACCAGATTAGGTACTCATCTCTCTGATCGTTGAAGTACCGGGATTTAGACTTCTCAAATTTCTAATACTTGCCGTCTCTATCCTTAATGTTTAATCCTTAATGTTCACAGTTTATTATTGGTAAAGGCATCACTGTGGCCCCCAAGAAACCTAGCTTTTAAAAATTAATCCTTGGACCTTCATTTTCAAGTTCACTACAAATGCACAGATGAAAACAATTTAAACAATGAAACATCAAAACACCACTCTATAATGTTTAATTTGAAAATACAAAACTTCAAAACATCCACTAACATGTAAACTATAATGTCCAATTTTAAAAATTTTTGGTTAATGACCCTAGTCGAGGACACTATTCCTTGAAAAGAATGAGTCGCTTTTATTTTACAACTTATTAGTATTACAATGCAGTATAGAAACACACATTTCATCTCTAACAAAAAACAAGTCATCTTTTGAATATAATCTTATTAATCTCATAATCATCCAGAACGAAAAACATGAAACAGCCAATGAGAACCAGAAATCAAAAGGACATGAAACTTAGAAGTCTTTTTTGAAAGCTGGAACTCAAACTATAAACAAAATGACTTGAAAAGCACATTCAAACTAATTCCAGGAAAGATGCCAAGACTCTGAAGGTGAAGAGACGGAGCCTTGTTTCTAAAGGCAAGGTCACATTGTATTCACTTCCTCACCCCAAGTTGTAACTACTTCCTGGCCAATGGGCGGCACGGAGTAGAACTGTGTGTGCCTAGCCACATTGATGAATACCATCTCAGCAGAGCAAGGATCAAAACCCATTCAAGGACACATGACTTACTAGCTTCAAGGAGGAATCGCACACAGTGGATGAGGGAGCAGACGTGGGTCACGAACTCTGCAGAGGAGATCATACTGCAGAGGCCAGGAGCCTGCAGTGCCAGGCAGCAGCAGTCCAGCCCCGCTTGGAGGTCCAGACTCAGTGGGATCTGCTCGTGGACCAAGTGCCATGCCAGGGCCTGCAGAGAAGCACTGCGTCAGAGAATGCCCACCTGGCTCTGAGCCCTATCTAGGGAAGCAGTTCCACTAGCAGCTGTGAGGAGCCACTCAAGACGAGGATGCCAGAGGATCCTGCCCTTCCGGGGTGGCTCTCACCCCATGTCCTAGGCTGCCACCCTTAGCTCACTCACATCCAGCCCTGACCCACTCCCTGAAGTGTGAGGCTCTCCTCAATCCCGCCGCCTGTCCCTGCAGCCATGTGGGCACTTCTCTGGCTGCAGGGCATCTGTCCAGAGGCTCTATTTTGGGTCCCAAGTGCAGGGCTTGCTTTAGGCATAGCCATGAGGCTCAGGTTGGGGGTGTGGACTCTGGAGACAGCAGGACTGAAGCTCAAATGCTACACTGGCTACATCCTAGCTGAACAAACCTCTAGGCCTTGCTTTCCTCATCTGTGACGTGGGATCAGGGCTGGTGTGGGACCTGAAGGTGATAATACAGGTAAACTTGATCCTGCACACGCTGGACAGGGTGTGAGCACTTGTCCCCAGAAAGAGACCTGAAGGACAGGCTCACACTTACTTTTTTTTTTTTTTT